CATTGTGGTCAAAATTTTATTCGTATTTTTACTTTTCTGGAAAATGCTTGATTGGTCAGATACAATCCTTGCTGTAGGATTATTTTTGTTTAACTTAGTCAAATTAGTTTTTAATTCAACAACATCGCTGTTCAACTAAAATTCCCGACAATCTCTCATAGAAATTAAAATACAAGAATAAATAAATAGTAGTTTTAAGTAAATGTTAGATTTGAAAAATCATCCAACAAGAAAAAGCTTCATTCATTACAAGATTCTCTTACTCTTGTTTTTACGTGATTATTATACTTATGGTTGATTATTATTGGTTATTTTATTGGAGTTATCTTTTCAATAATATTTTAATAACTCAATTGTCGAATTGAGATATTTTAGTTTGAATTGTGTAAATATAAATAAAATTTTATATATTTTATATTATTTTTAAGTCTTTTTTTTTAACATAGTAAATATCGTAAAATCACATTTTACTTATATTGTAATACAAATATTTTCCTATATTTTATAAATAATAAAGCACATTAATATACATGAATAAATATTTTATTTTGTTAAAGTAGGTTTAAGTAGCTCAAGTAATTTCAATGTTTACAACACTAAAGTATTATATGATTATATTTAACTTTTGATATGATTAAAAAATAATATAAACTTTAATTTTCTTTATAAGATAATGATAGATTAGCCCTTTAAGAAAAGGCTCACGAATTATTAGAAGTTTAACGGAAAATATAGGATATGAGTTTGACGAAAGAGAACATAAGGTTTTAAAATTAGGAGAGTAATGGCAATAAACGATGACGTAATAAACGAGATGGAAGGTTTGTAAATATTTATGATCATTTGTTCAAAATTAAGGTAGTATTAAAAAGGATGTGATACATAGGATGTAGTGTGGCTGAATCAAGAAGATAGAAGCGTCTAGTGTTTTGTAAGATAAGAGAACCCGAATGAGGCTAAATGGTAAGTTTTATTATAAGACTGTAGTGAAACCAAATTTATTGTATGGGTCAGAGTGTTAGACGGTTGACAAGAAATTAGATCAGACAATGAGTGAAGAGAAATAAGAATATTTAGATGAATGTAAGAGGAAGCATTGGNAGAGAAATAAGAATATTTAGATGAATGTAAGAGGAAGCATTGGAGTAACGTCGACCGTGGATAACACCATAGAAAACAGGTTTTAGATTTTAACGAATATATATATATATATTTGTAATAAAAATAATAATTTTTTTAATACCAACCAAAACGTCAAAAAAAAAAACTTGAACATTTTACTAATTACCAAATATTTATAAAAGTGCCAATAACGTAATGTCATCATACAAAAAAAATTATTAATCAAATACTTTATAAATTATCAAAACTTTCAACAATTAAGTTAATAAGTATTTAAAATTTGAATTTAAAATTTTTCATATTTACAAAAATTACCGTGATCATTTAAAAATTTTCTCTATTAGATTAATTAGTAAAAAATGTTTACAATTAAAATAGTCATTAAAAAAATTAAAAACATTTGATCAATAATACTGTATTACAAAAGAAAAACCTAGTACAGAGGGAGCGAGACATAGTTGGAACAAGAATATGATATGTGCTACATGACATTATAAAAAACCGATTTGTTACAGATTTGTAGTTAGTGTTCAATTATTGAATGAAATTGTTGGATTATTCTAAAAACAACATCAGCTACTATTTTCATAATAATGTTCTGATTACAAATTTTATAATTTATAAGTATAATTAATGAATAAATACTTATCATATTAATTATAATTGGAATGAAATTAATATTTAATAATTTATTGTTTTAATTTTTACGAAGAGTTATGAATTCAATATTGTTATTTTAGCTTCGATGCGAAGCGGAGAAGGTATTAATTTTACTATGATGTGTTTTTTTTTTTTTTTTTGTCTGTTGCCACTTTTTCTCAGCTCTCACTGGCCGATTTCTTTCAAAAATACGTCAAAAGATCACAAATCGTATCTAGTTGAAGACATTAACCTTAAAAATTGAAAAAAATTCCCTCGTTCAGCGAAAATGGGGGAAATATCCAAAAAAATTACAAATTTAAAAATCGCTAATTTTTGAAATTATTTCACTTTTTTTTCTTAAAACTTCCATAACTTTTTGAAAAATCAACAAATCTACATATTTTTTTTTATACTAAAACCTTAGATATTTACCTTTCATTTGATATCATTTTTTTGAAAATCTATCACATAACCTGCTCATTGGGGGGATTTAAAATAGCAACTTTTTTACAAAAATTAACTTTTTCAATTTAATTTTTGAAAATTTTCCGGAAATACTGCGTCCTTCAAACATATATCAAATTAAAGGTTATGTTATATACTATGAAATGAAAAAAAAAAATTTGTCCTGACACTTTTTCTACTACATTTAAACGGCTGCCGTAGTTAAAAAAACACTATTTTTGTGTTAAAATTTTTGATTTTCGATTTTAAATTTTCAACTTAAAAATGCTATAACTTTTTGAAAAATGTATATATCAGCACAAATTTTTTTTTCTGAATACATTATAAGTACATCTTTTATTTGACATACTTTTTATTAAAATTGGACAATTTCCCCTTATATAGGGGGCGTTTAAAACTTGAAATATTGTAAAAAACATAGATCTTTTTCAACTTAACTTTTGAAAATGTTCCCGAAATACTGCGTCCTTTAAACATATATCAAATTAAAGCTTATTTTATGTACTATTAAATGAAAAAAAAAAAAATTTGTCCCAACATCCTATCTTCTATGCAAAAATGTCTACCGTATTCAAAAATATGCTATTTTAAAAAATTTTTTTTTTAAATTAAACACTATCTCCAGATTTGCATCGAAGCGTTTTTTATGATAGTGATTTTAATCACTGTCAGATATCATTTATACTGGACCCAACTATGCCATGACCCCACTGTGCTGCCACCCCACTGTGCTACCGTTTTTTTTTATTTTAAAAGTAGTAGCTTATTTTCTTTTAATATACTTATTTCCTGTTTAAAAATTCACCCTAAAGATTTTTATATTTAATATTTAAATATTATTAATTTATTTTTTTGTGAAGACATATCTGTGTTTTTCCGATAAATTTCAAAATTTAGTTCCCCCTCTACTCTTTTAACTAATAAGTCCAAACAAAGTAATTTTTTCCCTATTTCCTGTTTGTACAAGCATTTAATCGATGTATTAAAAAAATCTAAATATTATATGAAGATCTCAGTTTTCAAAATTTATGTTTATTACTGCAAAAATATCATCTGCATATTTAACTCAAATTTTAAAAAATCACCTTTGATGATTTTTAATTTTGTTTCAAACTTATTCATGAATAGTTTTACTAAAAATGGTGGTAGCTAATTTCCCATTGCTATTACCTCAGTTTGCTCATAACATTTATTTTGAAACGCTTCAATGCAAATCTGTAGATAGTGTTTAATTTCAAGAAATTGGTGGATTATTCCAAAAGCAAAATGAACTCCTATTTTCTTTTCCTCATTACAAGTTTTATAATTTATAAGTGTAGTATTAAAATGATATTTAGTAATTAATTGTATAAATAAATTACTCTTATAGCAAACATGTATAACAACTGATCCAATACTCAAAAAAAAAATGTTTGTTACCAATGAATCAATATATTGGTCTACGACGAATTTTCATGAGAGACCTAAAATATACTTATTTTTTTCTAAACCAATTTTTATGCCAATTTCAAATTATTATTCATTTTGATTTTAATGTTTAAAATAATCCGTACAAAATTTTGATTCAAAATATCATTTTTAACCTATTTTTTTCCCCTTTAGAGTTGATATTTACCTAAGTTTATAATAAAAATGGTTGAACCTTTTACCGTAACTTATTTTAGCTCAACTTGCAAATTTGAAATTGAAATAATAAAATAGAAAATTTTATGAGAATTGTAAAAATAGTATTGTAAAGATTAATATCCATTTAAGAAATTTTATAATTAATATTTACAGAGAATTTATGGGAAAATCTCAAAATATTGTTAACATCGCTACTTTTTTGTTTATTTGAATTGAAATCATAGTAATCATTTCTACAATTGAAATAATTAGATCTTGGTTTGTTTTTTTAATTACTGGGTCATTTCATGTGAAATCACCTAATGTGTGTGCTGGTATAGTTCAGAAATTTATGAAATTTAAATCATAGACTTCTTAAAGGTCATTGACAACAAAAATAATATATATATATTTTTTTTATTGTTTTTTTACCGGATAGCGCATTTTTTATAATTAAAAACATGAAAAAACAGCCTATGTTCTAGAGCCTATAACTTCACATCCAAATAAGCTATCAGTGTGGAACTAGCACTGTTTTACTCATATTAAATAGTACTTCAATTTCATTCTTAAGTTTATGAATTTTGAATTTTTTTGAACATCGAAATTTTGATTTTAATTTTTTTAATTTTGCAGTATTTTAATAGCAAAATTTGAAGGTCATCAAATTTTTTTATCAACATTTTTTTTTCTTTTCAGAAACTTTTAGTTATGTTCTTTTAACCCATATCATATTTGAATCGATTTATAATTTTTTTTATATCGTTTTACGGTCTTGAACACGCGTGGTTTGCTGAAAATAGCCAACTTTATCATCTCATTGCACAAAAGTGACTAATTTGTCAAAACTATTGAAAATTTAAAATTTTTGTAAAAAGAAAAATTATTAAGTTTATAAAACTCTACAATAATATGAAATTGAATAAATTTTTTTTTTATCCCTTCAGGGATAAAAATGTTTATTTATAATTTTTTTAAATGGGAACCACTATTTTTGATTTGATAATATGATAGAAAAAAAAATTTTAAACAATTTTGTTCTTATAATTTTTTTTATCCGAACTACCGTTCACGTTATATAATTGTTTAAAGATTTTGACTTCCAGAAAAATATTGTCATTTATTACTTTTCACAATATCGGTAGCAGTGCAACCGGTATTTTTTTAGATCCTTAAGTTTTACAAAACCATAGACTTAGCTATTAATAATACACCGAAAACCCGGTTTGAATCTATTATTGTTATCATTCATTTAGTGCGTAGTAAATTTTTATACCAAATTTACTTGTCAAAACTTGATCAATAAAATTTGGTTTATGCAATAGCAAATAAAAATAATGACTTCTGTATTTAATACAGTAAAATGACAATAGAAATTTGGCCTGAAATCACTTAACTTTAACAAGCTGTAACGGACAAACGGTTAATCAGATAAAAAAAATTATAAGAACAAAATTGTTTGTAATTTTTTTTTCTATCATATTATAAAGTTAAAAATAAGGGTTCCAATTTAAGAAAATTATAAATAAGGGTTTTTATCCTTGAAGGGACAAAAAAATAATGGTTTGACTACATATTGTTGTAGAGTTTTTTGAACTTGATATTTTTTCTCTATAATAAAATTTAAATTTCTCAATATTTTCTGAGAAAATGAGTGTCTTACCTGATTTCGATCACCTTGTATAATATTTCATCTATCGCATCAATAATTTCTTGAATGTGACATGAAACTTTATTGTTTTAATACTATCAACCTTGTTTCTGACCATTTCTTTACTGTGCTCTTTTGACAATATTAAGAGAATATAATTTTAACACCACTTATAGAGTTTCAAAATTTATCATTTACATATTATGAAAAAGTCATAAACTACGTAATATTCAACATTTAATTTTTGCATTTATTCTATACGAAAATAAAATACTACATACCATTGTAAGCATCTACTTTTAAAATCGTAATTTTTTCAGATATGTATTTTAGATAATTTTATTATTCTAAAAATATAATAAAATGTGTCATATTTTTAAGTGTATTATAGAATAATTTTCATTATAAGTTTCCTTATAATTTATTCTATATTATATTTTAATTCTATTTATATATATATATATATATATAGAAGTTTTATATCTGTTTACATCATACCTAATTATAATTAAACTAATTATAATCAAATACAAAGTTATACATTAATAGGTTAGTTCTTAAGAACAAAAAATTATTAGATATAAATATATGGACATGGTACTACATCTTCAATCTGAAGATGAAAAAGATATTTGTGCGTATATTTATTTAAAAAAATTTTAATTTGTCAAAACGTAGTCTAAGAATCAACCATATCTATTGATGTAATTAACTTTATAAAAAAAAGTAATGGAGCTTTCCGAACTTAGCCATTGCTCCTAGTATTTTTTTATGAGTTCCAATAACTTAATCTACTACAGAACACAGAATAAATACAAGAAAAAAAATTTGAGTGTTGAAAATTATGTAGTTTGTTGATTTTCCATAGTACGCAAATTGCAAATTTTGTAAATTCTATAAGTAGCGTTAAAATTATTTCTCCATCATCAAATTTTCACCAAACGTTTTAATTGCCTAAAGGTAAGTACTATGTAAATTTGAAAAAAATTTGTTCAGTCACTTTTGTGCAATGAGATGATAAAGTTGGCTATTTTCAGCAAACCACGCGTGTTCAAGACCGAAAAACGATATAAAAAAAATTATAAATCGATTCAAATATGATATGGGTTAAAAGAACATAACTAAAAGTTTCTGAAAAGAAAAAAAAATTTGATGACCTTCAAATTTTGCTATTAAAATACTGCAAAATTAAAAAAATTAAAATCAAAATTTCGATGTTCAAAAAAATTCAAAATTCATAAACTTAAGAATGAAATTGAAGTACTATTTAATATGAGTAAAACAGTGCTAGTTCCACACTGATAGCTTATTTGGATGGGAAGTTATAGGCTCTAGAACATAGGCTGTTTTTTCATGTTTTTAATTATAAAAAATGTGCTATCTGGTAAAAAAACAATAAAAAAAATATATATATATTATTTTTGTTGTCAATGACCTTTAAGAAGTCTATGATTTAAATTTCATAAATTTCTGAACTATACCAGCACACACATTAGGTGATTTCACATGAAATGACCCTACTTTAAAATATTTGGGACAAGTGTAGATGATATCTGACAATGATTTAAATTACTATCGTAAGAAACTAAAAATAATTCAATTTTTAATAAATTATGGCAGTTAAAAAAAAAAAAAAATCTAAAAAATGACAACATTTATCGATTATTAAAATTGTAATTTTTTGGGGGATTCTCACCACATGCGGTAAACTATATACGATTTGTGATCTTTTGACTTATCATTGAGAAAAATCAATTCAGTGAGAGATGAGAAAAAGTAGTGACAAATACAAAAAATATATAAATGAACACATTATGATGAAGTTAATTTTTTCAGCATCTCATCGAAGCTAAAAACACATAGTAAAATTAATACCATTTAGCTTCACATTGAAGCTAAAACAGTTTGAAAATATACTTTTTGATAACTGTTTTAAAATACATTTAATACTTTTAAACTCTTAAAAATTCAAATATTTATTATTTAAATTAAAGAAAAACTAAGTAGATATTTTACCATGTGTAGTAATTAGATGAGGAAGTATTGAATTACGTCGATTTTAGTATAATATAAGCTTTACAATAGTAGTAAGCAATTTTTGAACTCTTAAGCAATATAATAATTCCATATAAAAGGGAAATGTAGGGTAAGCAAATTAATAATGGTGGGAAAAAGAATATAAAAGGGAAACATGAAAAGTATAGGAAGACGATACTGGGTGAGACAAGACTGGACGTTTTGTCGAAGAAACGTCGAGTTACGAGTTAGGTCGTTGGTGTAAGAATAACTTTATATTTTTGTAAGATTTAATTAATTTTTGTGTTAAATTTTTATATTATATTTGACTTTGTGTTTAATACGTTCCTTAAATAAAATATCTATTTAAAAATCTGGGCTTAGCGTAAATATTTTATATTCACCGTGTTCTTAGAATTTGTGTGTGTGTGTGTGTGCGGCTAGAGTCTAGGTTGGACTGCTGGTCCTTTAGTCAATCTTAATAATTAGTGTACGAGCTGGCTAGTTTTTGGGCTTAACCGTCCTTTAGTGGGTATAGTAAAAAGGTAGTTGTGCTGGTGGCTGACAAGGAGCCACCCTTCAGTCTGCTACTTTTGAGCTAGACTATGCTGACGGGTCTAAACTCTACCCCTTTAGTAGTCCACTAACTAGAGAGATTGGGGCTGATCAGTTTATCCAACGGGAAGACTCGAGGAGAGCTCGAACGACGAACTCGTCGTCAATATTTAAATATAAAAACAATAATTAATTTGTGTAAAACTTTTGTGTCTACGTTGGGGCACTACCGACGTACGACACATGGTACTAAATATTTAACATTAATATGTACAGCACCTGCTGGTTAATTTAACAAGTGTCGTTATCTTGTACATAGTACAAAAAATCTTAATGTTATAATTACTCATTTCAAATGGTTGCAATAACAATATTAATTATGTATCAACATCGTAAACATAGTTTAGCACTTCCTATTTATGTAAATTAAGGTCTACTGTACCAAAAATGAAAAATAAAGTGAACATTTTTGTAAGTATGAAAGCATTATGCATTTAAGTCTGGGTAAGAGTGTACCACAACTTAAGAAAGTAAAATCTTACCTATAATTTGATAACTAAAGGACTTTTAAATACTTATGATCTTTTCCTAAATTAATTTGTATAATTTTGTAAAGGTTGTATTTATATATTTTAAATTTTTTTTAAAGATTTCTTATTGTGCATAGAATTATAATTATTAATTATTAAAAAAAAATTGAATACTATTTAGTGAAAGAAATACATTTCGTCATCAAAAATCATGTCAACATACGAAGAAGAATTTGTAAACTTTAAGCCACCAATGCTGCCTGAAGATCTCGCTCAATTTCCAGATCGTTTTTCTCTTACATTGGCCAAAAAGACTTTGTTTATTACTGGAGCGTCAGGATTTTTAGGTAAAGTATTACTAGAAAAACTACTACGCAAGGCTCCTGATGTAAAAAAAATATATGTGCTTATGCGGTGTAAAAAAAGTGTGGAACCAATAAAAAGACTAGAAGATTTATTTTTATCACCAGTATGTATTAATTTTTAATTTTTTATAATTCTATCAAAATATAAAAATTATTATAATCTTTTTATACAACCAAATATATTTTTTAAGCTGTTCAATTACCTTAAAGAATTGCGGGGCTCTGATATTTTTAATAAAGTAGTCTCAATAGCTGGAGATGTTTGTGAACCTAATTTGGGTATAAGTGCAAAGGATTATGCAATACTCATCAAAGAGGTTGACATTGTATTTCACGTAGCAGCCTCGGTACGTTTTGATGAATCTCTTGCTAAAGCTGTTACATTAAATACTAGAGGTACTAAGTTGGTTCTAAATTTAGCAAAAGAAATGAAAAATTTAAAGGTATAGTTTTTGGACATAATACACATTTTTTTAAACACAAAACTATTTATGATATATATTTGCATTGAAAACTTTTTAGATTTTTATGTATGTTTCGACAGCATATTGTCATCCAGAAGAAAAAATTTTACATGAAAAAGTTTACTCTTCTCCAATAGACCCTTATGAAGTTATGAAAATTATAGAATCACAAGATGACACATCTATTGAAGCTATGACTCAAAAGTAAGAATACATTTTTTAATAGCGTTATTTTATTTAAATCTTTATTTTTTATTTTTAGGATGTTTAATCATAATTTTCCTAACACCTATTCATTTTCAAAATGTCTTGCTGAACAACTGGTTGTCGAACAAATACAAACCGGAATGCCTTGTTGCATTTGTCGTCCTTCTGTAGGTAAGAACAACTAAATGATTTGTACCATTTTGTTTTTTGGAACAATTTTTATTACATTACAACATTTTTGTTTTGCTAACAGTAATTCCTATCTGGAAGGAACCTTTAGTTGGGTGGATAGATAATATAAATGGTCCAGTAGGCTTCTTAATAGCTAGTGCCAAAGGAATTCTACGAACTATGTATTGTTCTTATGATATTTATGCAGATTTTGTTCCGGTAGATATAGTTGTAAATGGTATGCTATTGCTAGTATGGAACTACTTGGGAAATAAGTATGTAAAAACAATAATAATAACACAAACTTGATTATCACTACAATCAAAATTTTTTGAGAAGTTCTACAGAATGACTCAATGTGGATAAATTAGTGTTCTTTTTTTTAAAAAATGCAAGGAATTCTAAACTATTGCATATCAAATATTTTTTAAAACGATATTAAAGGAATCAAATATTATAAATTATTACATTTTTTATACCAGAGTGGGAGAATAGTGCAGTTTATAAGAAAATAAAGATAAAAATTATCAGCCTCGCGCTACATTTCTAGTATTTTTATTAAAGTGTTAACAACTTTCAAAATACTAGTTCAAAAGTAGTTATCGGGCAGACATTTGGTTTGTAAGCCATCCAATATGTATGTTTCCATTTAAAATCTAATGATGATAAAAGTTAATGGAAGTGTAAAGGATACTTTATTGCGGATTATCAAGTATATATTACACATGTGTGCATGTATAATGTGTTCATTATTCAGGCTAGATAAAATCTAACTGACAACTCTTACAACTTTTGATACAATTAATATTTCGCTGTAATTTTAAATTTATTAATCCATGCATTTTTAGACTACGATAAAATTATATTTTTTAGTATTCTTTTTTATAATAAAAAAATAAGTACATTTTTATTAATTTAAAACTTTTGAATTTTTTACAATAACAATTTTAGAACGACTAGTTATTGGACACATAAGTATTTTAATAAAAAAAAGTGGGTATATAACGTGATTATAAATGTATATCAGTACAAGTTATAATATTTTTAAAATTACTAGAAATAAAGTTAACTGTGAATGCAATTTAACAGATAATATTAATTTACAGTGACACTGGAAAAAATATAGTAAATATAACGTCAACTGATGAAATTAAAGTTACATGGGGAGAAATCATTGAACTGGGTAGAGGTATAGCTACTAGAGATATACCAATGAACAACTGTGTTTGGTATCCTGGAGGAAGCATGACAAAATGTCGAGTTTATCATAATATTCGCGTGTTTTTCTTACAAACTATACCAGCCTACTTTTTGGATGCAATAATATATTTATCTGGAAATAAACCATGGTAATATTTATTCGTCAATTGTTATATTAATTACCACGTATCAAAAAATCTTTTAACAATGTTTTTATATTGTCCATAGCTTAGTTAAAATTCAAGAGAGAATCAATAAAGGGTATGAAGTTTTTGAATACTATATTAACAACCAATGGCATTTTAGCTCCAAAGAAATGCGTTCCATAAGAGAAAAATTAAACCCAAGAGAAAAGTATGAATACAAATTAGACACAGAAGGCTTAGACTTAAAAAGTTACTTCAAGGATTGCATTATGGGAGCTCGTGTATACATATTGAAAGAAATGCCAGAAACTCTTCCGAAAGCTAGAAAACATATACAAATGTAAGTCTGAATTATATCTTTTGTATATTAATAGATTGTCTTTTAAAAGTTTTTTTTTTTTTGGTTACAGAATGTATCAAGTTGATATTACTGCAAAAATTATCTTCTTTGGCTTACTCTCATACCTATTGTTCTCTTGGACTGATTCTTTTATCGTAGTTTTTTTATTTTTATTGAACGTATTACAAATGTTTCCTGATGTAGTTTCATCAATATTAAGCTAATTAAAATTACGCTAAAGATTTAATTTAAATTTATATTTTTATGAAATATTATATGTAAAAATAAATTATTCATAAATGTTTGTTATAATATTTTAGACAACAAATGATTCAATAATCAACATATAATTTATTGAAATTATTATTAAATAAATTAATTCTTAAAAATTATAGCTTTACATTTATTTTTAATATAATATTCTATGTTTCTTTAATTATAATTAATACAATAACTTTAGAAATTAGTCCCTCGTATCCCCTTTATCGGACCAAAATTGACGTTGCCCGTTAGGCACTAACACTAAGTCTATTCAGGCGACCTTTTTTGTTATGTACTCAAAAAATATAAAAAGAAATTAATACAAAAAGCGTAGACTTTAAATCACTAATAAAAATATAAAAAATTAGTAAAATTATTAAATTTATAGTTATTAATTAGGGGGAAATTAGGCAACTAAACAAGCCTAATTAACAATTTTATTATAGTATAAAAATTGATTTGGAATAACTCTTGAGTTAAGGGAAAATTATTTACTTAGTGTAAACCAAAATGATATTAGTCCATAAAATAGTTCCAATTTGAATGAATAAGTTGGTTTCTATTTGATTATCTTAAAGTATTATTATTGAAGTTTATATTATCCAAGTGACTAATTCAATTAACTTATTTGAAACAATAAAACAAAGAAGGTCATAAGAGCGAAAAATACTGAAATAAATAATTTATTTATTCTATGTAACGTAAAATGAGTGTATTGTTTTTATTATTACTTAAATGATACAAAAATCATTCATTATAAAGTATTTTAATAAGGTACACTTTAGTATTTTGATAAAAATTAAAAGAGCTCAAAAATTTGTATTCTGAATCATATTTTTTTTAGGTAGAGAAAATAATTCTATTTTTAATAAACTAAAAAAAATACAAATGTTTGTTTCTATTTTCTGCTATCCAGAAAATGTAAGTTTATGTTAAAAAAAAAAGAAATTTAATTACTATTCTTTGGTTAAAATAACTTCAACAAAATGATTAAGAGTTTTCAAAAATAATAGTTTAATAACAAATTTAAATTAATCATAAAAGTCTGAAATTTCTCCTTAAAAATAAATAAATTAGTATTATGTTTATTTTTTGATACAAAAATGTTTAACTTACATTATTTTAGTCTATTTAGAGTGATTTACATTTAATAAAAAATTGTAACTCTACTTAGTGAGCCACAAGAGTAACAATAGAAATGGTTCTCAAGTCTAACTAATTTTATAGATATATGAACTAACATGAATTCGTTCTATTAAGTGAATCTAATTATACTATGGCTAGTTAATTAATAATTTATGAATAAATTATATTATATTACACATTCTATAATTAGATGGAAATTATTTCACTTTAAAAAAAACACAATTTTTTCTCGTAATCATTTAAGGTATAACAACTCTCAAATTTATGTAAAAAATTTCTATACAAAGCACTATACTATAATTTCAAATTTTTATTTAATACTTTCTAGTTTATAAAAATGAATACTTATGAAAAAGAATTTCTAAGCTATACGCCACCAGAGTTACCACAAGATCTTACAAATATTCCAAATAGAGTGTCTTCAACATTTACCGACAAAACTGTGCTAATAACTGGAGGGACTGGATTTGTAGGAAAACTTATAATTGAAAATCTACTACGTAAGTCTCCAAGAGTGAAACGAATTTATTTACTGTTGCGATCGAAAAAAGAGAAAGAACCTAAACAGCGTATAGAAGAGTTATTTTTGTCACCGGCGAGTAATAATTTTTAGTTTTTTTTTTATAATATATTTATTGCAATAAAATAACACTTATTCATTTATTAAACATACATAATATGTATTGGTGGATAATGTAGTAGTACACAGTGATTTATTAAGAATACAACTCCTTAGTTTTTAGTTAAATAATGATCTTTTCGTTAAAATATACAGAATTACATTTGATTTATTTTTATGAACCATAGTAAATATCAAGTTTATTGTAAGAAAAGATTATTTCTAAGGGTGGATATTCAAGGTAACTTACTACAAGTATTCCTTATTGTGTTAATATAATTTTTAGTTATAGACGAGAGGTGTGTAAAACGTTGAAGAATTCTTAGCTGTGTGTCACGGTAAAAATAAACAATACCTTGTTTCACGCTATTTTTAAGTCTTTAAATGTTAATATCTCAAAAAGTAAAAATAAAAAACTGGTTATCGACCAGTCAAGATTTTTTTTAAACCATTCTCTATTTAATAGTAAAGAAATAATAATAGGTTACCCTTTAATTTTCTAATGTACCCATAAAATCTACCCTTAGAAAAAGTGTTGGGAATAGTTAACCAAAAAATAATTAAGAAATAGATACTCAATTAAAAAGTCATTTAAATGAGATAAAGATATTTGGGTTAAAATTATCTAAGTGAAAGATAAAATAATTTATCTTTTTTCTTAATAAAATGCAGATAAATGCATTTTTTTCATTTATTAATAATTTTTTTTTATATAACTCCTCCTTCCAACTCATACTAAATAAGATTCTATTTTTTTGTTGATACATAGAAAAAATTTTCCATCCTTTCTGTGTTACTAAAATATTTTTAATCTTCACTATTAATAAAAAATAAATAAAAAAAAAAATGATATATACTATTTATTAAAGTTATGTTGAAAATATTACCCTTTTTTTCTACATTGTAATTTATTATGAATATTACCACCATTTATTTTTAATAATAACTTTTCCATTAAAATATAAATAATGAAATAAATTTAATTATTTTTTATTAAAACGCAATAATTATCGTAAGAAAAATTATTTCTGATGCTAGATTTTTAGGGATAATTTTTAGAAGTTAATTATAATTATAATTATAATTACTTTTTTTATTTTATGTTAAATGAGGAAGGATTAAATTAAAGTTTGATTAGTCGATAAACAGTTTTGGAATAACATTTTTTGAGTTAATTTAATTTTTATTAGATGAGAGAGGTAAGCGACATAAAATAATTTTCATTCGTAAATTATGGTTAAAGTGGAGTGCACTAAACAGTACTCCACTTCTTACTTTTAAAAAAAATTTAATTGCTTTTATCTCACAAAACTGATTATCATCTACTTAAAATTTAGTTTGAAATTGAAATTTAGAAAGTACAGAGTTTTACAAAATACAAATTTTAAGTACTGTCGATCGGCTTATTACTCGTAAATTAATAAAATATAAAAATAAAAAAAACCTAACATAGTTTACACTTAGATAACCATTTATAAAGTCACCTAGCTCAGATAAAAGATAATATTATTATTATATAGATAAAAAATAAGATATTCTGAAAACTGTATAAAAATAATCTTTTCTTACAATAAATTCAACATTTACTCTAGTTCATAAAAACAAAACAAATTTTAATGGAAATATTTTATTATAATGATAAATTGGTGGGGGGTAATATTCGTAATAAATCAGACTGTATAGCCTTACGAAATAATTGATAAAAGTTTTAAACAAACTAAGAAATAATAACAAGTATGATTTCAATAGTTGTTTGACTATTTAAAAAAACTACATGGCAATGATGTAATTGAAAAAGTAATCCCAATTCATGGAGATATCGGTGAACTTTATTTGGGTATCAATGAAAATGACTATAAAATACTCACAAATGAAGTTGAAATATTTTATCACGTTGCTGCTACTGTACGATTTGATGAGCCTCTTAAAAAAACTATACTATTAAATACTAGAGGTACTAAATTTACTTTAGAATTAGCTAAAGGAATGACAAATTTAAAAGTAATTCGCCTTTTAATAAATAAAGTTGAAGTTATTTAAAAATTTATAATTATTACTTTTGTTTAGCTGTTTATGTATATCTCTACGGCTTACTGTCATCCAAATGAAAAAGTGTTACTTGAAAAAGCGTACTCTCCACCAGATGATCCTCATAAAATGATTAAAGTAATAGAAACTTTAGATGAAGGATCTGTTGATTATACTTCCAAAAGGTTGATGTATATATTTATTGCAATATATTTACCAAATATTAATTGTGATTTTTTCCTTACAGAATTTTAGGTGACTATCCTAATGGATACGCTTATTCAAAATGTCTTGCAGAACATTTAATAGTTGAACAAATAAAAGCTGGATTACCATGTATCATTTGTCGTCCTTCCATTGGTCAGTAAATGCTTAAAAGTCAATACATAATTATTAATTAGTACATAATTTAAACAATTTAATGTTTGTAGTTGTTCCTATATGGAATGATCCTTTACCAGGGTGGACTGATAATTTGAATGGACCTTTAGGATTGCTAACTGCAGCTGGAAAAGGAATACTACGCTCTATGTATGGAAACCCTAATATTTGGGCAGATTTTATACCTGCGGATATTGTTGTTAACGGAATCCAAATATTCACTTGGAACTACATTGAAAATAAGTATGTTGTATTACAACTTAAACATCTAAGGTAGCATTTAGGATTTCTGCCGCCCCAGTTATCGTTATATTTTTCTCATCGAAACAAATTTGTTTATATTTTTTTATGTATCGTTATTTTTACATAGTTATAGTAATAATTTAAGCATTAAATAATTAACAAGGGGCAGTGTGGTACAATTGATCATTCGGTTCCCGTTTTAGTGCTGATGTCCATCCGGTAGTTATATCAGTGACACACACATGGTTTCTTTACTGGCTACTTTAGTTATAATGAGGTTATCAGGTCGTAAGCCGGTTTAAAAATAATGGCAAATCGTAAGATAGAACCAATACCATATATTTAGGAAAAAGACTAAGAATATGATGATAATACTTTAGTGCTTAATTATATATAATAATTAGTAGTTATTTCAAAAATTGAATAGAATGGAAAATATCTAAAGCCTGATTCGACATTTATTTTAGAATTCACCTAAATAATGAAAACAAGAGAAAAGTTTTCATTATTTGTTGTTCTGTGTTATATTTATTGCAGTGATACTGAAAGAAATATAGTAAATATAACGTCAACTGATGAAATTAAGATTACATGGGGAGAAATTATTGATATGGGTAAACATATAGCTTACAGTGGCTTACCAATGAACAACTGTGTTTGGTATCCTGGAGGAAGCATGACAAAATGTCGAGTTTATCATAATATTCGCGTGTTTTTCTTACAAACTATACCAGCCTACTTTTTGGATGCAATAATATATTTATCTGGAAATAAACCATGGTAATATTTATTTGGCAATTGGTATATTAATTACCACGTATCAAAAAATCTTTTAACAATATTTCTATATTGTTCATAGCTTAGTTAAAATTCAAGAGAGAATCAATAAAGGATATGAAATATTTAACTTTTATGTTAATAATCAATGGGAATTTAGTTCCAAAATGAGTCGTCAGATAAGGGAAAAATTGAATGCTCGAGAAAAGTTTGAATATAAATTCAATTTAGATGGTGTTGATGTAAGAAAATATTTTAAAAATAGCATAATGGGAGCTCGTATATACTTATTGAAAGAAATGCCAGATACTCTTCCAAGAGCACGAAGACATATGAAAATGTAAGAAAAAAAATATTATTTATACGTTTAATGTTTTATTCTTTTATCAAATTTTACAGAATGTGTTTTGTCCACTACACAACTCAACTGTTACTTTTTGGTTTATTCTTATGGTTTTTAATGAAACTTATCAAATACAATTAATTATGAATAAAGTATGGGTTTAAATTAAAATATTGCACTTCAATAGCTTAAGTAATTTTTAAGTACAAAATAGTTATTTTCTTTATTTAATTAAAATAGTTTAATAGATAAATATTTAGTTATCATAAAATAAAATCAAAAATTTCATTGAAATACTTTTAAAATGTTATTAAAGGCTATAGCAAGAGATTACAAGCTAAATTAAATGTTAAATATTTAATATTAATTTAACAATAATACAATGGTTATTTTGAGCAGTGGTCCTTGATGAATTTTGAAAATTTCTTTTGTGAGCCGCATACTAGGGAAAGAACGTAATCAGCCTTAATAAATTTAGTTTTAGTGTGGGCCGAATAAAATTTGTTAAAGAGCCACATGTGACTCGCGTAACGTTTAATAGGTACTATCATTTTTTAATATTATTAGCGATTACCTCTAAAAAATATATACAATTATGATATAATTTTACAAAAATATAGTAATGTATTACATTTGACAATAAACTATGCTTGAGTTATTTTTAAAATGAGTTATTGATTTTTTAAATAAATTACACTATGTATATCATCAAATGATACTTTTTTAAATTTCAAATAATTTTTTTTTAGTCCTAAATATATATTTCTGCCTAATTTTTCAATTTCTTTTGTTTAAAAAAGGATTTAGTAATAGTAATATTTTTAATTCTTACGATATTTTTTTTTATTTATAAATACTGATAAGAAATATTTAATAATAGTAAAAGAATTAATAATTGTTTTAAACTAAATGTTTTCCTTAAGGCGCTATTAACTGTACACTTTACCGTATGTCAATTTTCAGTGAGATTAATTACTAGAAAATATTTAGCTATTTAATAATCTATGTACAAAATAGTCTGAAACATTAACCACTCAATTTGATCATTAATTTAGCACCTGAAGAATGTTTTGTAAAATTTTCATATATTAAAATTATATTGCTAGAACATTATGTCACGGAATTTAATTGTATCCCATTCCTTTTCGCTAAAAGCAATTAAGACTATTTCATTTACCTGTAATGAAAACCAAATGATTCAACAGAAAACTATAACGATTCAAGAACATAACACTTGTTCTACCATTTTATTGTTAATTAAAAATATTTATTTTCTTTCTGTATCATTTCTAAGATTTTTATTTAAAAATGCCAACTTTCGAGGAAAGTTTCATGAATTTCAAACCACCTTCGTTACCCGAAAATCTTAGACTTTTTCCAGATCGTGTATCCCAAGCTTATGCAAATAAGACGTTATTTATCACGGGCGGTACAGGTTTTCTTGGTAAAGTTTTACTTGAGAAACTTCTACGGAAATCACCGGATATCAAAAAGATCTACTTATTATTGAGAACAAAAAAAGGCATTGATGCAACTCAGCGAGTGAAGGATTTATTTTCAACAGTGGTAAGTATTTCTAAGCTACATGATAATCATTGTCTGAATGAGTGTAAAAAATAATTTAAAGCACACTCTTATCAAAAAAATTAATTTGTTTATATATATTTTTTACGTCAAACATATTATTTTTAATTGTGTATCAAACTATTGGTTTAAATAAATACTAATAAAACTTTTTTAGCTTATAAATATTGTTTACTTATGTATAAAAAATAAGTGAAATTAAATTCGTTACCCAATAATTCTTATATGAATAATAACAAAACAACTTTGTATTTAAAATTATTTATTATAATTTCTTAAGAGTTTAAAACATTTGTATTTTTTTTTTTTCATTATAAAACAGAACTGGTAGGAAAATGTTTTCACAATACAGCCACTTGGCCTATATTGTTTATTTTAGGTCACTTGTGTTAGACATTAGCCTATCCAAGGTAACTAATGTTTTTTTCGTTCTCTGTTACTTTCTTGATGTGTTCTCAGAGTATAAGGCGTTTGTCTAGCTAAATTCTATGTTTTGAATTGAACAATTCACCGGGATTTTAAATCCGCTATAGTTAAGACAGAGTCTCTATATACCCATTTCCGTGTTATAATATCTGCTTTATCTGAGGGGCTACTTGGAAACCATTTTTCAATATCGAATAAGTTATAAGTTCTAGTGCCGATTTATGTAAAGTTCCGCGTTATAAAGCAACATCATCTGCAGAACCCACAATATGCACGTTTTCTTGCACATTAATCTCAAACAAACGTTGTTATAATATTTAGTATATATACATAAATAGCTATCCAACACTTATAATAAATTTTATTGGTTTCTTAATAACCTAAAAGTGTAATATAAAACTCAGTTTTCTGAATCACCTCTAGCTTAATAGTTTTGTTGTGGAGTATTTTACAGTAATGTTTGATGATGCAATATATTTACAAATATCAAATTTAGGTTCATTATAAGTAGTATATAGTATTATAATAGTAGTAAACATACTACTATTATAAAACGATAAATTATTTCAAAATATGGGAATGAGTAATTAACATACACATTGGTAGGTAAATAGAATGTGTAAAAAATCACAAAATACTTTATATTGCATTAGTATATCTTTGATATCAAGAAAAAGACATTATATACATATATTAGGGTGGTTATTAAAAATAAAGTTTTGAAATTCATTTAATACTCCCCCTAGAATTGTTCCATTTGGTAAAAAATTATCTAGTACAAAATTTAGTTGAAATTGAGTGACGTTAACACATGTCGCAGGAGTGTTGTAATTCGGCTGTAAGGGTGATATTTCGAATTTTGTCACTTATCTAAACTATCTTAACATCTAACATCTAAACTATAATATTCACAAAAAAAAAATTATAGAACTAAATGTTTGCTGTAAAAATATTATCATAAAAATAACAGTATCTATAATACTTAGTTATAAAAATAAAACATATTTTTATCTTAACTGTTGAAATCGATTTTATTTGTTTATTTAAATAGTTGTATTTTACCTCTTGTATTGCTTACAATTTCTCAATACACTTATCTATGAGAAACCCAAAAAATATTCAGACAACATTATAAATGTTTTAAACAACAAAGTTACTTTTCTTGATAATTTTTTCATAATTTACGGAAATGGAAACACATATTTTCAAATAATCTCAAAAGCAAGAGTAACATAGAGTAACATCAAGTGACCTAGTAAGTCAAGGATAAAGTGACTGTCATAACCACTGATTAAGAAGAGTTACGTTAAGGTGCACTCACATAACTATATTTATAAAATAGTACGCTTAAAAATTCTATTATTTTTTCATAATAAAAGTCTAATAAAATTAAATCATTACTATAGAAATCTAGAATATTTTAAAGAAGGTAAGTACTGTATCAATCTACGTTGTAGAACTACAGTTATTTAAAATCTTGATGTTTAGGTTTTTAATTTCAATTCATCCTAATTTATTATCTAATTAAAAGTTTTTAAAAAAATATTAACTTTTTTTAAAGAATACAGTCAAATAGGTTAACTTAAGGGTTGTTAAATTTGAGGTAGTTAAATATCTACGTATATAATTTTAGTTTTATCAATCATCAGCACTAGTAAAATGTTTAAAAATTTTTTTACAAAAATTTAATGATGACATCTGTTAAATATTAATTGTAATACTGCTCTAAGTTTAACCACCACACTTGGCTTATTTAACGGTATCAATTTTTATTTATCAATTTTGCAAGTTTTATTGTTAGTATACCCAAATACAAAAATATTTTAAAAAAATTAATTTTATTTATTTATTAGATATTTGATTATGTGAAAGAACTAAGAGGAACTGATTTTTTAAACAAAGTGATTCCAATTTCCGGGGATGTTTCTGAACTTAACTTAGGTATTAGCGATGATGACCGTCAAATTCTTACCAATGAGGTGAACATAGTTTTCCACGTAGCCGCTTCTGTACGCTTCGATGAAACACTTAAAAGAGCAGTACTTTTAAATACTAGAGGTACCAAAATGATGTTAGAATTAGCCAAAGCAATGAATAATCTTAAAGTGAGTGATGAATGGTTATATTGTTGTTATATTAATTATACTAAAATAATATCCTTATATAAGACAAATTCAGAATTTTATTTAAAATCACTATTATATATAGTAATATTATTAATAATAATATTGTACATATTTTAATGATAATCAATTTATATTTTTAGTGTTTTGTTCACGTATCAACGGCTTATTGCCATCCAAATGAAAAAGTTTTACATGAAAAATCGTACCCTCCACCAATAGATCCTCATAAAGTAATTAAAAGTATGGAGATTTTAGATGATAAAACTACTGAAGTTATTTCTAAGCAGTGTGTAAATTTATAAAGAAAAAATATTTTCAATTGATTTCAGTTGATTGATTAATTAATTGTCATTTTCAGAATTCTTGGTACTTTTCCAAATACATATGCTTTTACAAAATGTCTTTCAGAAGACTTGGTGTTCAAACAAATGGAATCTGGATTGCCTTGCCTTATTTTAAGGCCATCGATTAGTCAGTATATTATTATTATTATTAAACATACTATTATCGATAGTTTTTAATTAGATAATAAATGTTTAATTAACAGTTATTCCAATCTGGAAAGAGCCTTTACCAGGCTGGAATGATAATATAAATGGTCCAACTGGTATACTCATCGGAGCAGGAAAAGGAGTCATTCGAACTATGTACTGTAACAATACTGGATATGCAGATTTTATGCCAGTGGATATAGCTATAAATGGAATACTCTTATTTACATGGAACTATTTGGAAAATAAGTATGAACGCAGAAAATTTGACAACATTATAACATTTTGAATCTTACAAATAAAATATTAAATAATTGTAAATAAATAAAAATTAAATATTAGTTCTATTATTTATGAGTTATACACTTACAATGTTATAAAGAAAAAATGTATAATAATTAATTGAATTTATTTTTTAAGAATTTAATAAAAAAATACATGATTATATTAAAGAGATATTACCAGAAATATTGGACATTTAACATCCAGTCAAGAATGGCAGGTGACATGGCAAGAAATCATTGATATTGGTAAAAATATAGCCACTAATGATGTACCATTCAATAAATGTATTTGGTATCCAGGAGGAAGTATAAAACAAAGCAAATTATTTCATTACATTTGCGTGTTTTTTTTTCATACTATACCAGCTTACTTTTTGGATGCTTTAATATATTTGTCTGGAAACACACCATGGTAATAGCTTTTAAATAAATTAAAATATCCTACTTATTACTATGATATTTCACGTTCCTTATCAATTACAGTTTAGTAGGAATACAGGGCAGAATTAATAAAGGATTCGAAGTCTTTGAATACTATACGAATAATCAATGGGAATTTAGGAATGAGCATATTCATCACTTAAGAAAAATAATGAATGCTCGAGAAAAGTTTGAGTACACATTGGATGGGGATGAAATGGACTTAAAAAGATATTTTATGAACTGTGCAATGGGTGCACGTGTGTACATTTTAAAAGAAATGCCTGATACTTTGCCCAGAGCAAGAGTATACATACGAATGTAAATAAATAATACCACTTTTTTATAATAATCAAATTGTTTCAATAAAACTATAATCATTATTCACAACATTTTACAGGCTCTATTATGTAGACATTATAGCCAAGTTGTTATTCTTTGGTTCAATACTTATGTTGCTGTTCAACTGGTCTGATTCCATCCTTGTATCATGTTCAAAAATTACAGAAGGAATAAAAATATTTTGTGATTGTGTATTATCATTCTTCACTTAAAATTTGATATCAATTAAGTAATAAACATAATGTATAAACAGTGCGATTTAAAAAAAATAATTATCCCCACTTTTTTGTTAAATAATAATTATTTGTATAAGTAAAAGTAAAATGTATAAGTAAAGATTTGATTTATTTTGATAAACCATAGTAAATATTAAAGCGTAATTTTTATGGGTAAATATCAAAAGTTAAATGGAAATCTACTATTTTTTTTTTACTGTTAAATGAAGAATTGTTCAAATAAAATTTTGACTGGACAATAACCAGTTTTATATTATTGCACATTGAAATATTGACACATAAATAAGTATTCTTTAACATTTCGCACCCATCTCACCTATAACAAAAAATTACATTAACTCAAAAAGTAATAATATCAAACTGGTTATCAACCAGTTTACATTTTATTTAGATCATTTAATAGTAAAAAATAATAGGAGATTTCCCTTTAACTATGAAAGTTACCCCTAAAATCTACCTTTACAAATGATTTTTTTTTAAATAAACTAGATATTTACTACGCTTCATAAAAATAAATACAATTTTAATTTGTATATTATTGTTAAAAAATTATTATTTAACAAAGAAGTAAGAGTAATATTCTTAAATATTACACACTATATATATATATATATATATATAATACAATATTATATATTAATTAAAAGGCAATTATATTTCTGACAATTTTAAATGGATACAAAATAAGAATATTAGTTGTATTTATTATCGTTTTACTTAAAAAAAAAGGTGAAAGGAATGTATTAAATAATTAGTTTTGAATTATATTTTCCTTTGAAAATAATTTTTTATGAATATTTTTTACTTTGATACTCAATTTTTTAGATTTAGTACTATACATTTGAGCAATGATATTAAAAGTAATAATAAATTTAAACTCATCAGTTGAGTAGTAACGTAGAAAATATAAATGTTTTTTTGAAAATATTTGTGTTATTTTTAAGACACCTAACTTTATTCTTGTTGTAATTATGTTCTAATTGTTATCTAGTTACAATCAATATTTATAGTTTATTTAAAAATGATTTTCTTTCATGTTTTAAATACATAAAAGCACAATTATTATAATAATTTATAAATGTATACTTAATTTATAATTATAATTATAATACTTATCAAATGTCCTTTTTAATAAATAACGATAACTAGTTATATATAGAGTGATTGTTTTTCGTTAATTACTAGATTTCTACTAGAATAATTATAATTATATGATTTTTTTTTTTTGTTGTTGTAACTCAAAAAAAAAAATTGACAAGGAAAAATAATAGAATATATTTAAAAGAACAAGAATAATATATAATATTATATATTTATACAGATGTGTTGCTTGAGCATATATTGAAATAATTGAGACTCTTATGGTCTTAAGCTTAATTCCTTATTTTTTTTTCTTGAGTTACTTTTTATATCGGTGTCAGTGTTCCGAGGGTTTTTCTTTTTTTACTAATATAATTCCAAAGAAAAGGAATATTACCACATATATATGTATATGTCCATTTTAATTTACCAAGAATCCAGAGCAATCGCCAACCGTACAATAATAGCTGAAACGAAATCTTCTCTATATGAATTTAATTTTACCAAAAGTACTTATTTAAACTTTATTATTTATATTTATATCTATATTAAAATTTTATGTTCAGCATTTTTTTGCTTATCATTGAATAAGTATTCTTTTTTTTTTTTTTAATGTGTCTTTTCAACTGATGATTTTGATGACTAACTGACTGAAAGATTCTATGCGCGAGCGTTTTTTATACCACGTTAACCCATCTTTTTATACTTCTCTTTTAATTCAATTATGGGATCAACATCATAAGTGTTTCTAGATATTTTTATTGACATATAGTTTAATTGTGATCAATGTTTACAACATTTTCCTTTAATACTCAATAATATGAGTAGTAAGATGATAACATAATTTTTGTCACGTTAATACTATTATTACAACATTGGCTTTGTTTGGTATTATTTTTTCTCAATTTATAAGTGGTTAAATATTTTTTTGGGTTCATCTATTAGTCTTAAAAGGACACCAGTTTTATTTTTTTTAAATGTGCAACAGACATATTTTACTTGCTTAAATTCAGTGGCGTACAAATCAGAGCCGGTTAAACTATACTCATACTGGACTAAGCCATACTAGTCTATTTAAATAAAATCTTTAAAAGATAATGAAAATCCAAATTTAAACGAAAAAAAATTTTATTTGAAAAGAAAAATATTTCCGTATTCTCCGTCTTATCTAAATATAAAAATGAGAATAACATCCAAAATACTGGTGCATGAAAGTTGTTATTAACCAGTAATTTTCTTAATCAGATAATTTTCTATAATCTAAGTAAATTAAATATGTATGATATCCCTATACATTATAATGGATAACCCTAAAAAGTAATTATTAGCTGATATATATCAATATTTATGTATAACTAAAGAAATCAAACATTTTTTTCCAATATTGCATTTATTTTGTGAGTAATCGAGTGTTGGTTTATGATAAACCAATCACTCTGTATAGATAATATTTATTTTAATTTACATTAATATATATTATTAATTAATTGTGTATAGCTATTACATTTATTTATGTTACATATATTTAATTATTTATTTATATAAATAAATGTAAGGGGACGGCCTATTGTTTAGAAACGTATGTTTTGGTTGATGAGCGTCCCGGATTCGATTTCCAGGGAGCCAACGAGATGTTTGATGTGATTTTCCCATTGTCTGGTTTCTGGTATAAGTCGACCATTATATCCGTCCTCTCCCATCATTTGCCTAGCCAAGAATCATATTTTACTATTACTCTATTACTCTCTGTAGAATATGAATTTCAGGAAATTGAAGGATGTAAAAGTAATTTTTTCTTGTTCTTTTTTTCATTTATATAAATAAATGTAATACCAATAAATGTCATTATTTATTTGTAAAACAATATAATAAATTATATTTAATCATTATTTTTGTAAATTATTTATTATTGGCAATTTACTTATTTCATTATTAAAAAAAATAATTTACAAATAAATAAGAATAATATAAATAATAAATCTTATTTATATTTTAGTTTCGACACGAAGCTGAGAAGCTATTAATTATACTATGTGTTTTTTTTAATTATTTTTTTTTTTTTTTGTGTGAGTGAACGCTCAATCTCAACTTTCGCTGGACCAATTTTGATGAACAATACGTCAAAAGATCACAAATCGTATCTAGTCGAAGAAATTACCCTCAAAAATTGAAAAAAATTCCCTGGTTTCCCTTAAACGGGAGAAATCCCCCAAAAAATTACAAATTTATAATCCCTAATTTTCGACAGTTTTTCAATTTTTTTTTACTTAAAATTTCCATAACTTTTTTAAAAATGACCGAGTAAATATAACTTTTTTTTATAGATACCTTAAGTATTTACCTATCATTTGTTATATTTTTGTGAACATTTGACCTTTTACTAGCCCATAGGAAGGATTTCAAAATGGTAAATTTTTCAACTTAACTTTTAAAAATGTTCCAGAAATACTGACAATTTTATATATATATCTTAAATTAAAACGTATCTAATATACTTTAATTTAAAAAAAAGGATTTGACCTCTAGACTTGTCTTCATGGTAAAAATGACTAACGTATGCAAATATATGCTATTTTTGTGAAAAAATTCTTGATAGTATATTTTACATTTTTTTACATTATGTTGCTATAACTTTCTAAAAAATGCATGAATCAATTCTATTTTTTAATGATAAATACTTGATATATACTTCTTTCATTTAACATACTCTTTTTAAATCGGACCATTTTTCTTTATACAGGGGAGGATCAAACCTTTAAAAATGTGTATAAGAGATAGAACATTTTCAACTTAACTTTTGATAGTGTTGCGGAAATACTGACACTTTTATAAATATCTTAAATTAAAGCTTATGTAATATACTTAAATTTGAAAAAAAAATTTGACTTCTGGATTTGTCTTCATGATGAAAATGACTACCGTATTTAAAAATATGCTATTTTTGTGTTAAAATTCTGGGTTTTATATTTTATTTTTTTTTTAAATACCTGACAAAGGGAGTACACTGATTTTCATAAATATTATATAAATCAAAGTAATATAGCATAGAAAGTTAAACTTTAATTTTTTTTGCTTTTTTTAAGTAGAGAAAAATAACTTCGAAATTCAAACTAGCTTAAATTGCCATTTTTTTTAATTGTCGGAAGCGACTTATGGTTGCTGAGTCAGTAACATTTATGTCTTCCGCGCTTGGGTTTACTAGGTTCCCATCCGTATTTGGGAAGAAACTTTTTGCATTTTTTTCTTAATTCTTTTTAAGTTAGAATAAATTTTCAACTTATTTGATTTTTATTTAATTCAAGAAGAAATTTCTTATTCATATTAAAATTATTTTACTATATTTTAGGTTTTAGCTGAGAGGGTATTGTTTTGTGACTATCAATTATTTTCTCTAATCTAACTCGACCTATTTTTTTCAACGATACGTCAAAGGATTACAATTAGTATCTAGTTGAAGATATTACCCTCAAAAATTGAAACAAAATTCTAATTTATCAATTAAACAATTACTTATCCCATGTTCTCTATACAGACAATTAAAATCATTATAGAATCTTTTTAAACACCAAAAGTTACTAGGAAATGATTACTATTATTTCTATTTAAGTTACGATAAAAATGCAAAAAAGTATTGAGCTTTTCTCATAAATTCACTATAAATAGTTATTATAAAATTTCCTGACTGCATATTAATCTTAACGATACAATTCATTTAATTCTCATCAAATTTTCTTTTTAATAATGTCAATTTCAAACTTACAAATTGAGATAAAAGTTATGGTTATAAATTTAATTTAATTTGTTATAAATTTTCACAAAAAATAAACTTTAAAGGATTAAAAAAATATGTAATTTTTCTTATTTTTAACATATTAATAATCAAAATCAGAATTAATTTAAAACAATTTTTTTTTGTTCTTAATTATTTTTTTTTTATATGTAAATACTTATTTTTTAATAATAAATTATAATATTATAACTATGAAAGTAATAGAAAAAGTTTAATTGCACATTTGATAACATCGCAAAAAGTTTATTTAGAAAAGTATATTTTTGTTTCTGATGAAAGTTCCTTGTAGTCTAGTGTATTTATTTATAAGTAACAAAATTTTTTTATTAAAAAGTATTGCATCAATCCCTTTTAAATTTTTATACACGTTAAAAGTAAAGGAATATATAACTACTTTATTATTTAATTCTCTGTATAAATTGCAATATTAAATTATTGAATATCAATTTCATACTAAATTTAATTACTATAATTATTATTTATTCATATATTATAATTATAAATCAAATAACTAATCGAGATAAAATTCAGGGAGATAAGAGGTGTTACAATAGCTTTTGGTATAATCTAATAATTTCTTACAATTAAACACTATCAACAGGTTTACAACGAAGCGTTTTTTATGATAGTGATTTTAATCACTGTCAGATATCATCTATACTTGTTCCAATTATGCCACTGTGCCACGACCCCACTATGCTACCGTTTTTTTATTTTTATTAATAATAATGATATAAGAAGTAAATTACGTTTGTACTAACTATGTATACTTAATTTTTTATATTAATATAATTATCAAAACAAATAGGTTTAATGAAATTATAATATAAAATAATTGACACTTTATTTTCGAAAATTAAAGTAATTAAATAAACAAATTATAAATTTATATGTATTAGTAATAAATCATCGTTATTGAAATATAATATGTTAATTAAAATAAATATTTTAACATTAAAAATCAAGTTGTATGAATTTATAATTCAAAATACTTATTTATATTATTACAATAAATTACAAACAATCGTGGAACCTAAACGTTTACCGAACACTTATGTTTATTGAATTTATACATTAATTGAACAGTAAAAATTTTACCGTATACCTAATAGAATAATAGAATCCGTTTAAAAAACGTTTACGTTCGCAGAATAATAGAATTTTTACCGTATAACTAATAAAACAATAGTATCCGTCTGTGTCGCCCAACCATAATTTGCGATAATACTCTTTTTTTCGAGTCCTCGGTAAAGAAGTTTAAATTAAAAAAAAAAACACTTATAAAATGACTATTATAAAATTTTGAAAAATTGAAAAAAATATATTTATATTTTTTTTTCTTATTAGAAACAAATAATAATAAAATAAAATATGCTCTTAACTTAGCCCAAACCATAAATATTGTTTTTTTTTTTAAGTAGTACAAATTATCCGTTCGATCATAAATGACTAAACATGTAGAACATGGCAGGATAATCTTTGTATCACATACTACTGTATACTACGACTAAAATTCAATAAAGATTTTTTATTGTTAAATATTTTTCCGCATTAACAAAATTAATGGTTATTAAATAATCATTCAATTTTGAATAAATTTTATACAAATCATCACCATATTCTCTATCCCAACTACTTCAGGTAGACTCTGCCTTAACGTTTTGATGGAGATTTATACCGGCTGTTGATGCAACCGCACTATGGCTAAGAAAACCAATATTCAAGTTTCACTTGAATATTTTATTAATAATTATAAAATCAGAGATACATTTAAGATAATTTGATATATTTAGAATTTTATTAACATACATCCAAAATAATATGTCTCCCAAAGTTCATATTTAAAATGTATAAAATAGGTCATATATTGCTACCAAACAAATTTATTAGAAGTTTGAGGTTAATTATTTTAATTTATACAAGAGGGAAATTAATAACAGTATTATAGTTATAAATTATCAAGTCTTCATTGTCAAGGGTATAGTGATATCTCAGCATATTATTGATGGATAAATTAACTATACTCAATTTCCATGGCTTTAAAATTAAAAGTACTATTATTGATTTATAGCTAAATTGCCCTGAAGCGATAACAATATTTATTTTTAGTACTAAACTATAAAAAAAACACTAGCATCCATGTTAACCATACTAATGGTTTTTTTTTGTAAGAGTCAGTACACCGATACTCCATTCCTATTAAACCGATTTTGCTCAACGATACGTCAAAAAAGCACAGTTTACTCTAATTTATTTTTTTCAAATATGCATCAAAACGTTTTATTTACGTCAAATTAATCTTATTTTATATCTTGAACGAGATTTTTTTTTTTTAATTGAAAACATTATATCTTATTAATTTATTTTAATTGTATTCTGTAAACCTTAACACACTTTTAGCACAAATAATGAATAATACATTTATTTATTAAATTTGTAAATCTAACATATAAACAGGTAAACAGGTCCTTACAATATTATTGTTCCTGGTTGTAATTGTTAAGCTAACTCTTCTTTTATTTTTGTGATTGAAAAACTTCGATATAATTATTTTTATTAATAAATAATTGTTTGGTAAATTATTAAACATTTTATTATAATCATGTCAACGTTAACAGAAATTGTAAAAATAAAAAAGTCAGCGAACAGTTTAAACAAATGAGTAGGCAATTAAACACTATAAAAAGGAATCAAAATTAATAAATAGAAGATTGACGTTTGATCACAATCGTCTTCGTCGTGGGTAAACTTAATCGTTAATTTTTGTATTTATACAGGCGTTATTGAAATTGTGTGTTATTATTATTTTAATATTTTGCGTGTTATAATTGTATATTTTAATTATAACTATTTGTAACCATTCTACAGACTCGTGATTATCATTATTATTCTTTGAAATTACATTATTATTAGTTTGTGTGTGCGAACAGATATAAGGCCAGATTGCTGAAATATTAGCTCTTGGCTAGTCTTTTTATCAATGCCAATAGTTAATGTACGAACTTGTTAGTCTCTGGACTTAACCGTTTTTTAATAGGTAGAGAAAAGATAGTTATGCTGGCAGCTGACAAGGAGCCACCCCTCATTCTGCTACTTTTGAGCTAAACTTTGCTGACGGGTCTAAAGGCTACCCCTTTAGTTGCTCACTAACTTAAGGGATTGAGCTGACCATTCTATTCTTATAGGAGGACTCGGGAAGAGTCAATGAAACACATTTAACGTTAAAGAGAACAATAAATTTGTACATGGGTATTTTGGTGTCTACGTCAACCCAAGCCAATGTACGACAAATTAAATAATAAATTTCACATACTTTATTCTAAAAAATGTTGAAAAATGTTATACAAATATTCGATTGTCAAATGATATTCGACTATAAAAAATAATATTTTTACTTCAATGTGTTGTTTAGAAGCTATTGGTTTTACTCTATCGAGTAACTTTTTGAGTTGTTCATCAATACGAACCTAAAATTGAATATGTTTCAAATAATTTCAAATGTGTTGTTTAAAAATTCTTCATAAACTTATTTGAAAATTATTTTCAAAATTGGTCGTCAATAAGATTGAAATATAAAACGAATCTCTGCGTGTTTACACTAATATTTGATAAACAAAACAAAATTATATCTTTAAAAATATTAAAAGCAATAAAAGCTCGTTGAGATCATGTGCAGTTTCCCTATGGGTTTTTCAAACGCATTATTGTAGAATTAATTATTTGTTAATTATTTACTAAAAGCATCGTTGGGCATTTTCTAGTAATTATCGAGACATACAATAAATGAAAATGTAACGCAATTCCAATGAAAACTGAACGTCACAATAACATGGTAAAAATCAGTCGGTTTGAAATGACGTTAAAAATGTTTAATAGTATTAGAGTAACCTTCAAATGACCAGTCAAGAACAAAAAAAGTGAATTTGCGGTAACAACATTAAAAAACAGTTACCGGTTTCACTGACCGTATACAAACAGCTAAAAATACTTTAATAAGTGATATAGTGTAACACTGACTATATTATCTAACAGCATAAATACAATCGTACGTGGGAGCTATAAAATCAGAGTGACAGCTATTTGATGAAATAACTGATGATAATTAGAAAAAAGCGTTAAACCGTGTATAAAAATATTTGATACCTGCTCGTAATTATAACTGTGTCATTATAATAGTTCATTCATACACGTTTAGATATGATGCATTATATAACAATAAGAATGGGTAATTAATTGACAAGTTTGTTCAACAGAAAACGACTAATGAAATGTTGTACTGTTTGATTACTTGAGATTCTGGAAAATTGTAGAAATTTACTATAAATTATGTGACATATCCAAATACCGGTACAAGACAAAAAATGATTTTTGAGAATTTTTATAATAATTACAAAATTTCTCCCTACAAATTATTTGTAGAGAGAATGTTTTCTGCCGTGTGCAAACATTTACGGGTCGATATTATGAATAAGGTTTGTTTTTTGCATTTAAAAAATTCAAATAAGACGCCGTTAAAAATTTTAGTTTACTTAAGCTCTCCTTTTTAAATTCCTAAAATTGACATACAAGCTTTTTGAAAATAGTAGCAGAGTTATAATATTTTTGTTTGACGCCACAATCATAATTAAAATGCCACGGAAAAACACGCATGAATATATCTAAAATAATTACTTAAGAATAATTGATTATTCATTGCCGAAGTACCTAACAATTCATTATTAATTTATGATAGATCGAAAAAGATTGATGCTTTATTTAAATTAAAACATAAAAGAGCAACTGGGTTACAGAGGTAAATGTAAGAACAATAGACGAACCACCAAAATTGCTAATAGATCGCTCGTGTTAAACGATGACTCGCACACGATACGTTAAAACTCAATGCTTTTCGAGTTGAGCTCTACTAAAACGAATTTATTATTAATTTATGTATAGCAACCAATATGAGAGCGTGTTGTCAATGGACGTGGTCACACGGGGAATAACGTATGCAATTTGACTACGCCAAGGGAAAGGGAGCCCGACTATGACCGTGAGTGATAGAGAGGATCCGAATGCCCGGCAAACGGTCCATCGACAACGTACAGTCGATGTTCGGTGCCCGTTGGCACTATCTATCCAAGTCGTCCTGATTAAGTAAAATCATTGTCGATTGTAGTGTTTTTTCCCATACGCGAAGACCGTGTCGGCACGAATCAACGTTTTTCGGAAAAGTTATTAGGATAAATTTAAAAAAATTTTTTTTTGTATTTCAACCGTTTTCCTTCAATAATTAACGATATATACGACGATTCGATGGTAATTTACTTACAAACGATTTCTAATTTTAAATAGAGTAAGTCCTCTAAATTAAAGTAAATACTTTTGAGTGATTTTTCTATTAGATTTTATCTCAATAATCAAAAGTCTCTCATTGATAATTATTTTCATGTACAAAATTTCATTTGTTTTTTTTTTCTATGGATCAAACCAGTTAAAATGTTTCAAATAATTCTATTTTTACATATAATACAATAAGTTTTGCTACATCATAACATTAAAAATTATATATTCATTGCTAATTTATCGATACCAGTTCTTAACGGTTACTTCATAATGTTAGTTAATAAAAATATCATCATGTGCCTATAAATAAAACTATTTGAGCAAAATGTGTTTTCTTATAAATTTTACTCAAACTTGAACAACTTGAAAAATATTATTAAGACTGCACTTAGTTATAATCAATGATTGATATTTATTGTATAAAACAAATCATTTTGAGAGTTCAAATTAAATACTATTGGTAATATAACGCACGTTGACATGTAAATACTTATTAGAATTACCCATGTTTATTAAGGCATTATTGTTTGCGTGGAAGTGAACGATAGTAATAACATTTTTGCAGTTTGCCTTGTAATATAAAAAGTAAAAATAAACCTCTTTCTAACAAGCTGCCGACGTTCTCACGTGCGTTATCAAATGAAAAATGTACAAAAAAAAAATCACTACTAATACATACATTTAATTATTAAATGAGTAAATTCATTTTAAACATTACAGAGTGTCACGATGGTGCAACCTAAATCATATCAGTGAATAGATAAAGACTAGTGTGTGTATATATTAACACTATACACGGAAACACACGGTCGTTTTTTGTTTATGCGAGATTACGACGGAATTTTCTAGCATTGGACTGATATGGAGGACCAAAAACCGAGAAAGTACTACAAAAATAATATAGCCGCGCTAGGTCTTACCGCGGCAGCGCTGGTTAAAGGCAATGGGTCCGAAGAGGATAAAGCAGAGGATGCGAAATGGCCGTGTTTAGATAATGTAAGCACAAGTTTAACTTTAACGGAAACAGCATCCACTACTTCTAGAGACGCTTCATCTAATGCGTCCAAACAAAAAAGAAAACCTTTTTGTACGATAGGTAAGTGTCGTTTTATTTTCTACAAACAAATAAATTTAAGTAGACAGGAGATTATTGTATTTTAAAACTTAGAATTCTGTCATTTGTTTAGTTTATTAATGTGACGTAGTATCGAATAGCGAAACGTACACACCTAGTAACGTCACTAGTCACAGATTGCAATTTTATTCTATGCACTGAATACAACTTAATTTTTCGGCTATTTTACTGCATTATAATCGTGTATTACTTCATACGTCAATTTACTGACATAAACCAGTAGAATTAATGTATACGTATTCAAAATAACAATTAAAAAATTAGTTTACATATTAATTTTGACACGGTGGTGCCGTTATGCCAGTAATGAAATATTCAATTAACAGATGCACACCACTGAACTGTGCAGTTGGTTTTGTATGCGCAACATAGGCGCGAATCTTGAAACAACCGCATGTGTCATTCGCGTTTTAAATTATAACCAAGTAAAATTATTTAATCAAAGTCGATTGAATCTGTTGGATGAATACCGTAACGTGAAATACAGGCAATTTTAGCTTTGTACCTCAGATGATTATAACGATCGTGTCAAACGTTATGCAACTCATATGGATGCAATAGTAAATGCACTTTGCAACATAATAAAAAACCACAAATTAACCAAGCCGAAATCATCCAATCATTTTTCATAATTATTCCCTACATAGTAAAATTATACTTTTCTAAAGTGTAATTTTATCGTCTTTGATTTGCTCACAATTTATTACCGGTCCATGCTTATTTTTTATCTCTTAGTTCGTCTTCATTTTGTACTTTTCAAGATCATGAATGCTTAGGCAACTTTTCTCATTATTCGTTTAAACTGTCGTTTACTCTCTAAAATAAAACTGTACTATTCAAATCTATAGCTCTTCATAATATTCATACTCTCTTTCTATCGATACCATTTTACAAGTCTCAATTTATCATATTGTTTCCTTTCTTCAGATTTTCTCAATAAATTAAAAAGATAAATAAAAATTGTAATCTGATATGTATCCACATTACAAGCTCTTGTGGATCGATATATTTTTATTTCATTTAATTAAAAACAATATGCCAACATATTTACATCCTTCCCTTTGTATAATCGTTGTTCCAAAAATACGCTTGTGTTTATAACGATTTATACTAGTTGTCCAAAAATAAGTTAAAACTAAATGGTTTCGATAAGACACGCGTTGGTATTAAACATAACATTGATTTGACACTTGATCTTCGAATGAATAAGCATTTCTGTTGGGGTTTTGATGACTAATAGGTGCACTATGTAATACATTTATTAACTATGGTCAAGACAAACGAATACGCATAATTTCACCACGCACCAAGGCCACGGTGTAATAATATATTTGAACCACAATTAACTGTATCTGCCGCAAACGTTAACCGTACTGTTTCAGCTAAATTTCTACTTTTACTCGAAAACCTTCTTTCGACACACACGAGTCAGTGATAAACAGGGACTCATGAATAATCCCAGTGAGCAATGACAAATTTTTGTCACAAAAGTAAATACCGAATAGATTTCATGTCAAACAAGAAACACTTGATAAAAATAAAAAACAAATCTTAAGTGAACTCCAGCCAAGTATTATTATAAATTATACAAAAACAAATGTTTTGCATAATTTAACACGTGAAATATTAGTTATTTTTGGTCCGTTTACAGAGATTGAGATCATTAAGAATAAATAACCGAATATTATTCTTCGTTCACATTTTTGTCTACTTTGTGATAAAAAATAAAACTACTATTAATAACACTACTGTCTCAACGAATAATTGTTACCCGCTGAGTGCTTTCTGAATAATTCTTCTCGTGAGCATTATGATTACTAGAGGTCATCAAACTTGGTATTAAGTAACTCTCTATAGGCATATAATTATGTTCGATTTTTTTTTGTTTTTGATTACACCCCTGACACTGTTATGCATTAATTAATTATGTTAAATTTCTTTAATCGGTGAATGTTAATATTGTAAAATTTAATTGTTTTTATCAATAATCCACTAAAAAGTAGTTGTTAACCTTGTTCGGCTTGTCGTTATATTGCGCGTGTGCAATAGAAATTGGAGCTGTATCAACCTTGCATCCCACTACAAACAAATGAAATTACCAATTATAACTAGTTTGTAACATTAGGCCAAAGTAAAAATACATATTTATGCTTCAGATCATGACGTGATAAGGGTTAGGACTATTTTTTCTTATGTTAACATTTTTTTTAGAGAGTCTTAGTTAGATTTTTTAAAGAAATTAATTTTTCCTATTCATTATGAAATTGTTATTTGTTTAATGGTTTGGCTGGATTCTTCATAAACAACAACTTTAAACATCAAGATTATGCCAAAAAGACATTCATAATTAAGAAGTAAATATTTTAACTAATATTCTATAAACTTAGAAGATACTGTCCACCATAAGTGTTATCTTGAAAACGACACTTTAACAACTCACTGTCATAATACAATAAATCTTACGAAAGTCATCAAATTTAAATAATACAGTACAAGTATGCTTAAAATGGAAGCCTATTATTAAAGAGTAATCAGTAATGAATACGTTTGACCAATGATTAAAAAATTGCTCCTCGCTACTCGTTTATAATAGTGAATGTTCAATATTAATACCAAATGCGTTTTACACACAACTTTCCTAAGGCGAAATTAAAATTTATTGCGCAAAAATGCGTTTATGTAATCTTGCACGCCAATATCAAGGTCAGTACTACACATATTAACGTTCAATAGATTTATCACGTGGAATAAATATCGTAATTAAAAGCTTAACAAAAACTGAGTGAAGATGAGCGAGGTTTAACATTATATTTATGTGATTCTATCAATAAATAGTTCCCTATATTAAAAATAGCTTAATGGAATAATCCTTGAATACATTTGAGTGTATAAATACATTTTGTTTTGTGTGAAATAAAAGAAATCATACCTCAGACAATTTACTTACAAGAGACGAATATATATTTTTAACTATATCCAGTCCCTGTCTATTAAAAATATTATTATGTATTTACATTAATGAAATATGAAGAAGTTAATTTTACACGAATTTTTCGTAAATAGTATCTCTCAGTTTTATTTAATGGCTAAGAGTTATTTAATTTAAACCTAAAGATATGAAAAAAAAAACGTTAATTTATAAATAGCCTGCGAATATTAAAATTTATCATATAAGTATATCGTTTTTTAATTTTTTAAGTAATTTTAATAATTAATTTTTTTACATTTTATTAAAAATATTATTTATTTTTAAATTTTAAATAAAAAGTAAAAAAAAAATCTAAGATAGCTATTTTATAGAGTAGAATTTAAGAAAAATTTTAGTAAAAAAATATCTTATTAATATTCAGTAGTAAATATTCTGTAGCGTTTTAAAGTTTGTAAAAATTTGAATTTTCATGTATTATTTTACGGTATTAAACATTGAAATACGTATTGAGAAAAGGACAGAAGAAAACGCTATCTTTTCATGATTACTGTGTATACATATGATGATAATGTGTATACATTACAAACTTGGCATTAATACCATGATAAGAAATTAGATAAGGCAATTATTACTTATCACTCTCATTCAAAAGTATATTGAAAAGATAGCGTTTTCTTCTGTCCTTTTCTCAATACGTATTTCAATGTTTATAACCGTAAAATAGTACATGAAAATTCAAATTTTTACAAACTTCAAAACGCTACAGAATATTTACTACTGAATATTAATAAGATATTTTTTTACTAAAATTTTTCTTAAATTCTACTCTACAAAATAGCTATCTTAGATTTTTTTTTTACATTTTATTTAAAATTTAAAAATAATTAATATTTTTAATAAAATGTAAAAAAATTAATTATTGAGATATAGCTATAGACCTAACGTATAACTATTATTAAAAAAAAAAATCAGCTAAAAATATTAACTGGATCAAAAGTTATTTAAGTTGTCAGTGAGTGGAGGGCCACTCTGTATAAAATAGTTAATTATTCAAAAGGTTTTTTAAATTTTTAAATCAATTTTTTGAAATAAGTAAAATTAGACTTTAATTAAAATGTACTTTTAAAAATATTAGTCTTTATTTTGTTGTTTTTAAATACTTTTTTGCGATAATACACGTGTTTTTAATAAAGAAAAAGCAACCGTCACTAAATTTTTAACGACTATCATAGACTTGCATTAAAGTTCCTTTGCATATCGCTTTATGTTCTATTTAATCATTTGTTTAGTAAAAAAACAGAACAGCGTTATTCTAGATTTGAAGCAAAATTGTACAATACAAAACTACTAGGGTACTCAAATATTGACAACACGGAAAAAATCTAAAAAAAAAAAAATACTCAATGCATTGTATCTGACAGATGTTCTTAATAGATTATTTTTTTCTCATTTCTATTATTATACGTGTAAAACCCGGATGTGACGTCTTCTTAGACATGGATTTCTTTTGTGTATTTTAGAATATACTATTTACCGTATCAGCCAAACCCTCAAGAGTCTTCTCTTACGTCTGTATATGACTATGAACGTTGTTACTACTAGATTTTGTATACCTAGTCACGCGTACATTTGAAGTGATCCGGTCAGAATTACAATTGATTGTACACCGCGGCCGATGACTATGTTCATGAATCTATCGAATATATAAAAGAATCCTCAGGTGACACGACGTATGCATTTCGAATCATTAATATTTTACTGACCAACTGTTTGCCGACCAGCTGGGAACCTTGACAAACTCTGCATATTAGCTATAGACTATCGTTGTTACCGTCACTTCCACGTCTTTTTTTAAAGAATTGTCAATATTGATTGTTCCGCAAATACACAACCATTCTATTAATGAAATCCGCTCATAATATGCCTTCTAGTTACAAAGCTAATAGAAAATATTCAATGCTTCTAAGATAATCGGATTTATTAAAACCAATGGTCTATTTATGATTTAGAAAGCCTTATTTTAAAACCGCAA